TTGTCAGATTAAATCAAAGAACAGCATGGTATCATTGAAATTAAGTTTAGGAGCATAGCGAGAAGTCTATTCACTCGAAAAAATTGTAGGTTACGTAACCTATAACTTATTCGAGTGAATAGATTTTTTTGGGCTTCTAAACTTAATTTCAATGGTACTATGCTGCTCTCTTATTTATTCCGAATAGTGGAACACTGTCGGTTCGTACACGAAATCCACCTAATTGTATATTACACAAATGTTTTCCCGAACCGACAGTTCTATTATAGGAGCAAAAGGTGTCAAAAGTGAAGAATCACTCCAGCATATCCTTAAGATGATCTTGAATAGAAGATGCAATTATGAATACTGCTCTTAGCTGTAGTGGCACGGTTATGCTAATGACTCCTGCCTTCGCATATGAAATAATTGTTTAGTGAGCAGTCTAGAAACATAAAAGTTTGTGTTTTACATAGGACTTATTGTATATCAATATAAAGAGCATTCCATGACATCCCTGGAAGTAAAACTGATGGCGACATGAACTGATTAATTATAGTATACATATAGGGACTCTGTGTTTCTATTTACAAGACTCAAAAATATTATGTATACATGAATATATAAATATCATGTTTAGGAAATTCTCATATAAGTATACCTTATTTTAATATTTAAGGAATACAACGCCACTTTTTGTGAATTTAATCACACCTTTGGAATTATATAAGAGATTTTTTTTCATTTTGAAACTCACCTCCAACTTTCTTCCATGATCAGCATAAAACCATAATTCTGAATTTTCTTTCTTTATTTAACTTTAATTTAAGTACCAATATCTTGAAATTGATGAAGATAGAGCTGTATCACTAATAAAATAACGTCTTTACAGTTGATTCCACATAATCCCTACAGCAGATTTATCTCGAGTGGCTATTGTATTCGATATTTTTATTAAATATTTATATTATCAAAATATTTATAACAATTGGATGGAACAATTTCTTAATGTACAGTAAATATTTGCAAAAACTCAAAAATTATTACAACCCATTTCTTTGATTTTTTTTAGACAGAGAATATGACATCTTATTATCGTTTCTATAAGAAGGATGAAGGCCGATATCCTTGTGTCAAGAGAGTGTATGTAGGAAAAGAACATGTAGATTTCTTGTACCAATTTGTCAAGGACAGCAGGAGCAGATATAACATTTCATCAGGCCAAGATCAGGAGTACATCAAAAAGGACAGTTCTAGCAAACAAATTGTAGAAGATATATCTAAGAAGTTAATTGGGGATCCTAATAAATATAATAATGTTTTTTACGGCTCATTTTTTATGGTAAATGCATTGTTTGATATTAGTTGTTCTTATTTTGTAGAAATCAAGTGTAATATAACTTTATGTTACCATATTTTCTAATATTCGACATGTATTGACTTTTTTAATATAGAGATCTGGTGGTTTCAAAATCTCAATATCCTGGCAGGAACAACCACGTATACTATCATCAGATGAACCAGACGATGATAGCAGCGTTTTTTATAATTATATTGGTAAGTAACAATTAAATTGATAAATATTGTTAAAGAATATATGTTTCTGTTCAGAACAATTTATAATATAATTTACCATTAATTTTGAAGATCTCGAGTTTGATAAAGCCGTATATCCGATCAGAGTTTCTATATATGAAATGTATCGTCCTGGGTATATCACTCAAATTTGGGCTCACAATTCTGAAGAAAATCGGTGGTTTCCATTATGGACTGGTAAATGTCAGGCTCCTGTACTAGAGGATTCACGGCTATTTTCCCCGCCTTTGCAGTTTTGTGACTTCAAAACCAAAAGGCTTAGATTAAAATTTACGTACAGTTTTCTGTATTATGAGACAAAGTTAGCAGCTGTGATGCTTATCGGTACATCAAAATTAATCCTTTCTAAAAATACGGAAGGAATTTTCACTAGTATATTAAAGAATGTGAAGGGCCAACATTTGATCACTGATAATTTAACGCCTATTGATAAACATGCACACTGGGATATAACGCATCTCCAAGAGAATTTTTCTATATACTGTACCATTTATACGAGGTATTATAATCATTGACGTTATAAGTAATATTTAATCTGTTTTAATTCCCTTAATAATGAAAGAAAATTTGTTCCAATTGGCAGCTACTTGCATTCGAATTATGCACGGATTAGAAAATATTTCAAACTTTCTTTAGATAATTCCAAGAAGCTTACACCTTGCGGTTTTTCTACGCTGCCTGTAAAGTATTTTTTTAAATTTATTTATTATAATAATATTTTTTTATATAAATAAAGTTACTTTATATATTGAAATTTTATATTTTATGGTTACAGGATGAAATGATACTAAAAATATTAAAGTACTTGGATATAAGGTCGTTGTGCCATATGAGCACAATGAATAAACGTCTTAATAACTTAACACGAGATGGTTCTCTCTTTAAGTGCTTGAATTTATTAAATATGCGCGAAGTGCCTTCTATATATCAAGATAATATTATATCATACTTTACATCCAGATGTAAATATTTGCAAAAGTTGCATCTTTCATCAAGCATTATTTCCACTTTGGAATTAAGAAAACTTCTTGACATTTGCAGTGAGCGTTTAACGCATTTACGATTAAGTTACTGCTCATTGAAATCCACTGCTTTCGATGACATTGCGGAAAGATGCAATAATTTGCAAGGTATAATATAAGTTAATTTCTTTATGATGAGTAAATTGTATAACTAATTATATGTATATATCTTTCTTTTTTAGTATTGGATCTCAGTTTGTGGGAAGTTAGAGATTCATTTGAATCGATATTGTCTGCAGATATTACACTTCGTGTTTGCAAATTATTAGAAAGAAATCCTCGATTACGTGAGTTAAATTTGGATTCTGGAGACGAGGACTTATTAGAATCCAATTTCTTCTACGTCTCCATTAATGTGGACTCAATTGCTACACAATTGAGGGATTCGTGCCCAAACGTGGAAATACGAAATATATCTGGCTATGATTGCACAATTACATCGGAAGGTATTGATGCTCTCGCCGAGTGTAAAAACTTGCGGAAACTGAACATTGAGGATGATTACTGGTACCATATTTTTTACATATCATACAAGTTCTATAAAGAACTTGTATGAAAATTCATAAGAAAATTTATATATTTACATTACTTGCAAGCATCACGAAACAACTATGGTGTTTTTCCCATTTCGATTAAAAAATCGTAGTAGTAGCATGACTTTTGTTACAGGATCGATGAATCACTTGAGCCAATAGGTGAGGATAGCTTGCGTAGATTGTTTTCCGCCTGTCAACGCTTGGAAGAAATTAAGTTGATGAATTACCATGATAATGTCGGCGAATTACTGACTCTGTGTAAAAACTTAAAAGAAGTGCATTTAAAAGTGTTACCTCTAAACGTGTTAACACTTCCCTTGCAGTGTCCAAAATTGCAAAAAATTTATTTTGTGAAAGGTGACGAAGAATTAATTCACCGGATGAAGCAAGAATATCCACATGTATCCTTGTGTAAATTAGAATATGTTGAGTATATGTATTAAATTTTCGCGCTTCAACATGCTCGTGTCGTGTCTTACGATGGCACCACTGTACGGGAGACAATTCGGAGCAATGTCGTGCTTCCGGCGCTCCCGCTCTTGCGCACTTCCTCGCGGAACGTCTGCCTAGTCGAACGTGCTATTTTTCTTGTATTAGAAATACACATTTGTATTACACTCCAAAAAGGACTTCGAGTTTCATTGAATTGCAATAACCCACTGTGCTCCGCAACAGAATAGTAACATAATTTTTATATATTGTACATGTACGCAGAAGAGTGATTGGTGTAATGGCTGCGTAATTTTCTCTCACAGCGGAACAGTCGAAGTTATCTTTCACAGATTTTGATAGACTTTGGACATGTTGTAGAAATGTAGAGCGTCAAAAAATATTTTCAGCTGTTCAACTCAACATTTAGAGGTTGAAATAATCTCTCGAAATTAATATACCTCGTTCCATTTTTGGCGAATATCTTGGAAAAGATAAGGTGCAGAAATGCTTTATGTAAAAGATTTATGGAATTTTATATTCTTTACAATATTTTGATATTTATCTAAATTTTTAGTTTACCCATTCCCATCTATTTCTACAGTTTAAGAATTTGTAAAGTAAAAATTACACAATACAATAACGTAATAATATGTTTGAGGAATAATTTTGCAATGATGATGATTTTAAAATAATTGTGTGCACTAATAACACCTGAATCTATATAGTTCTTCTTGTTAGATTTCTTAAATATCGCTTTTGCAATTTACTTTTCCTTGTGTTTATGTGTAATATAACTTCGTGCAATTCTATTGCATGGATCAGTCTCTTATGACACACGTGCTATCGTAGTCACAACAAATTAAAGAAAATTACTTTGGCGTTTGTTCCCTGACAAGTTGCTAGGTACAAGCAATCTCGAGCTAATACTGTACGTAACGTTTTCACGAAAATTAAATCGATCAGAATTTGATCTAAATTTAAGTATCGTTATAAGGACATACCGATTTTTGCGACATGCTCAATAAAGAATCAAGCTGGCCAGAATCAGCCTCCCTCCTCAACGAAACGCTGATGCCTCATCGATCGGAGATCTGTGTTTGAACTGAGCCAAACACCATGCCTGCCGCACGCTTTATATTTTAGGCTCATTAAAAATATCGCGCATCAGCCCTGCCAATGGTACGATATAGTTTGCGTCGCTTTCGGACACGACGCATTGCGATCAGATATACCACGACCATGCGGTTAATCTATTTCTGGCTCCCTAAACGTACTGAAGGATCCGAAGAAAGGCTCCCGTCGTTTTCCGCATATCCGCTGCGACTGTGCACCGCGAAATACAACCCAGGGAAAGTGAAAAGTCAAGACGATGCCAATTTGATGTCATATTCACCCTGGTGAAAATAGAATTCGGAGCGTAAATCGAATGTAAGGGGAGAGTGACAGAAGCGCAAACGAAATGTGTAGGAAGCGTAATTTGGAACAGCAAAGCGTAAAAGCAGCTTAAAGTTTCTTTTACGCTTCGCTGTTCCAAATTACGCTTCCCACACTTTTCGTTCACGCTTCTGTCACTCTCTCCTTACATTCGATTTACCCTCCAATTTTTATTTTCACCAGGGCACCAAATTTCTATCATATTTTGGTGAATATGACATCAAATTAACGTCATCTTATTTTTTCATTTTCCCTTGGGAATCTTCTTGCGTGTTATCGTTTGTAATGTCCCCATTATTGTTATTATTTCTTCTATTATTACTTCTCGATGACGTAATTGCGATATTTGTAACTATAAAATGTAAGTTTTGTAAAACATTTTTGAAACCAGAAGCTCGACAAGGAATCGAAAAAGATACGCAGTTCTAAACTCTGGTTATACGCAATTAAAAAAACTTGTGTTTTCTCGTTAAAAGAAATGCCGGTTAAAATTTTTGTGTTAAATGTTTTACACATTCATGTATTAATTCAATATATTGCTCTTGTGTTAATTGATCTCAAATGTAAAATTATTAAAGTAACTGAAAAGAAATGTTAAAACAACACAATGTGTAAGTACTTATTTTTAATCTGACACAATACAATATGTTCTATCCCATACAGCACCGAAACTTTCAGAAACATTTCAGAAACATTGCAACATTTCAACAATGTTTCCTGAAATGTTTCTGAAAGCTTCGGGTTGCTATATGGGATATCATTAGTAATAAAATTTATCTGTTAAAACTTACAGAATAAAATGATGATTTTATTCTATATAACATAAATTTTGTTACTAATAATATCCCATACAGCACCAAAGCTTTCAGAAACATTTCAGAAAACATTGTTGCAATGTTGCAACACTAAAGAACGAATTTCTATACATTTGCGAAATGTGTATTTCGTTGTATGCAGAAATTTGTTCACATCAAGGCGTTAGTCATCTCAACTTTTTCTTCTCCGACACTCGCGAAGGAAAGTTACATTGCAAACGGCGAGTTGTGCAGTTAACAAATTATAATTGTAGATTAGAATCGTGAAAATTTACTGCAACCAATTCTGTCGATTGAATCCGAGTGGCAGTCCGAGTTTAATCGGATCGCCCTGTGGGCCACGCAGATTTAAACGGTTCGATCTATCGGACCTGACTTCAGGTCGTTCGCACAATCGTTCGCGGTTCGAACGTTCCCGGGTTCTATCGCACGATTTGAATGAGAACGCCCGCGGGGCGCGCTACCGCGTCGCCACGATCGCGCTCTTTCGTGCGCAACGTCGGCGCGCATGCGCGCCCACCGTCTATGAGTCGCAAACTCTCTCTCTCTCCCTGCTCTCTCTCTGTCCCGTCTCTCGCGACGTTGCGCGAACCGTACCTGCGAAAGAGTTGCGCATTTTTCCGTCTCGTGTCTCCCAGAAACTGTAAGTATGTCGTCGCCGCGGAATCCCGCGTACGCGACGAGAAATCCGTAGCGTCGCGGACCCCGCGGCGCGCCGGACGGCACGAGCGAGGTGTTCAGACCCGAGGAAGCGGACGCGAGTCTCGGGTGGAACGGCTTTCTCGGTGCTGCGGGGGGAAAACCGGCACGGGATCGCGATCGCAATGTCGTCTGCCACGGGCTCGTAGGACGGCATTTCTTGGCCGCGCGTCAAGCGGAGCCGAGTTTCTCGCGAGGACCCGCGCCGCCGGACGTGCGGACGCTCGTCCCCGGACGTGCGGGGCGACTTCTCAGTTAGAATCCCGAACGATCGCGCGGTGTCGGTCGGTCGGGGCTTATGTAACACCCGCGGGACAGGGTCAATACTATTTCGTTCGCACGTAGGCTGGGGAGGGAGCTCACACGTCGCGATACCGTGTGTTTGCTCGCGTTAGGCTCCCCGTGACAGTGACTCGGGGGTTTTCTCTTTTTACGGTCTCGTGGGAGCCTCGCTCTCTCTCTCCAGACCCGCGAACGTGTCCCCAAGCTGCCCGGTGAATTTTCCCCCGCATGTATAGAATAGTTTCGTTCCACGATTGAATATAATCCACACGTCTATGTGTATTTACATAATATTTATGCAGAACCGAGCGCGTTATTGGCATATGTGTCTCGGAATTAAATTTAGCCTCTTGTTGCATTTGTAGTTTGCCCATGTCGAGCCTCCCGTCATTTTCCAATCCGGGCTAGACGTATTCGTCGGCGGCTACGACGGCGAGTCATTAAAAACGGATTTTTTTTACGGCGTTGCAGAGAGCATGGCCCCTCCGACGTACAACGACCTAGGAAAGAGCGCCCGCAATGTATTCGGCCAAGGCTACCACTTCGGTCTGTTTAAACTAGACGTGAAGACCAAGACCAATTCCGACGTAGAGTTCTCCTGCGGCGGCGTGTCCAATCAGGACACGGGGAAGGTGTTCGGTAACTTGGAGACCACGTACAAGTTCAAGGAGCACGGACTGACGTTCAGCGAGAAGTGGAACACCGACAATACCCTCGGGACCGAAATCAGCATTGCCAATAAGTTGCTCAATGGTCTCACGGTCGGCTACTGCTGTACCTTCTCCCCACAGACCGGGTGAGATATGCTGCGCGCGCCAAGAACCTGGATGCTCCACGACCCGCGCTAATGTTTCATTTTCCCCTCGTATTTGTATTTGCAGCTCCAAAACGGGAAAGCTGAAGACCAGCTATCAGCACGAAAACGTGTCCGCTGCTGCTGATTTTGATCTCAGTCTGTCCGCTGGACCCCTAATTTACGCCTCGGCCGTCGTGGGTTATCAAGGTGAGCTGAAATATTGGGTTTCGTCGAGGTCAAAATTACGCCCGTTAGTATTGAAGCTCGACATCACTTTTGACATAAATTTGCTGAAAGAAGTTTTAATTTAGATCCTTTATGTGCCCGTCCTTTTGTCCCAAAATACATATTTCCTTATTCTGAACAAGTGGATTGTTTTGTGAATTAAAAAGTAAGTTTGTCGATTCAATTCGCATGTTAATCGAGTCGTCTAAAAGATTGCTGTTTGTATCAACGTGTGGTTGTATTTTGCAGGATGGCTGGGTGGCTATCAGGCGTCCTTCGACTCGCAGAGAAACAAACTTACAAGAAACAACTTTGCTCTGGGATATACCGCTTCTGACTTTACTCTTCATAGCGCTGTGTAAGTAAATATTATACTTGGTCGCTTATACTTGGCGCGAGACACTACCGTGTCTCGTGATGATAAGAAAATTACTGCGAGACCACTTCGCGATTTGTTTAACATTCGAACACGGTATCTTGTCTATTTTTAGGGATAATGGCCGCGAGTTCAACAGCTCCATTTATCATAAAATAAAGCCGGATTTGGAGGGAGCCATTAACTTGGCGTACAATTCCAGTAATAATGTAACACAGTTTGGCATGGGCGCGAAGTATAAGCTTGACAACGATGCTAGCATTAGAGCCAAAGTGAATTCTAATCTACAAATAGGTTTGGGATATCAACAGACACTGCGGAGCGGTGAGTAATAATTTTAAAACATTTTCTGTTGAAGATGTCGAAACGGTAGGGGAATATCTCGAGCTCGTCACGGGCGCAAAACGTAACGTAAATCTTTTATAAATAATTTTGTGTATAAATGCGGAAATATTTGACATATAAACGCAAGTACTGTGAGAAAAAGTATGTAATATATTTTTCGTTCGAGGTATTAGCACTATTAATAACTTGTGCTCCGAGAGCCACACTAAATAGAGAATAAGCTTCTGGCAGAGTGACAATTTCACAATGGTCGACAAAATGGCGATATTAAGTTAAATCTTTTTATAAAAGCATATTTATGTGAAACAGGGCCAATATGAATCTTGTAATTAATTAGAGAAGATTGCACTTTTGATTGAGCTCAGTCCTTGGTAGCTCAATATTTTCTATGTGAATTTTGTACACCTTTTTCCAACTCGGTAAACTGATTATTTGTTGGTCTTAAAACAGCTTTTTATTGGAGAACAGATCCATACACTCAAGTTGCTAAATCAATTTAATCATTTGATAACAAGAACCCGTTTTAAATTATTGTAAAGAATTTATTGTGAAAAATAAATTCTATTCTAGCTAGGATTTAAACCTGGGTCTACAATCCATTAGCGAAAATATATATATATTAATAAATGAGTGGCTCTTAACTAAATAATTAAATATCTGTTTACAGGTGTAACTTTGACGCTTTCTACAAACATTGATGGGAAGAACTTCGGCTCTGGTGGCCACAAGTATGGCGTCGCATTAGATCTTCAGGCTTAAATACCATATAAAGTAATGCTTATTATGAGAAAGCAAGAAATTTATCCCATACAAATACATATTTCATGACCTCTGTGTCATAAAATCGGCGTGACAGTACATGCTTCAAATAAAGTATTACCTGTAACATGTAGATAGATCAATCCTCTTGAATAGATGCCACAAAACATCATTTCAGATTAATTAATTGATCACGTTAGTCTATATTGTACACAATTATGACCATGAATCAGCAATATCTTTTGCGAACAATATGAAGTCGCAATTATGCATACAAGTTTGTACTGTTAGTCGTACTAAAGTTCCACATGCAGGTTTTTTTGTCGGTTCCTGTTGACTGAAATTTCTGTAATCTGCTGAAATAATATAAAATGGAGAAGGAAAAAAGAACGAAAAGGCAATGGTATAAAAATTGATAATAAAAATATGTAAAAAGGAGCTACGTAACATGAAAAATTTTATCTGTTTATTTTATAAATATTGCCAATATTTTTGTACGATACTCGATTATTATGTTACTTCATATAATTTCCAAACAGTGCAAAATATTTTTATGAAGCGTTACCTTGTTTTTATCAGATAATTGATTCTGCAAATTAAACACCTTATCTCTTGCTGGATAGGACCAGATTAGAATGTATAATGTGCAATCAAAGTGTTAACAATATGATTGATTGATAGTAAATGAATGCGCATTTTTTTCGTTATTGAATACATACTATTGTAAAGATATGATGCCTTCTCTAATTCATATAAATAATGCAATTATATAGACTTGTATAGATAACAATATTAGAAATAATTCATTCACTTATTGTAACGGATGTTTCCGTGTCTGTTTGTTAAGAAGTACTGCCAGTTTGGCTAAATTATGATGTTCGCCTCAGATATTCACCAAAGTATATTCCTTGACAGAATTTTCATGTGTAGTCACGAATATGTAAATGATAATGGTCATATTTTCAAAAGACATGATGAGTACTGCATATATGTATAATTCCATTGCTTTATTTTATATAGGAAATAATAATTGTTTGTGAGTTAAAAAATGGCTTTTATTCTCTTCATCGATTGTGCAGGTTCAGTAAAGAATGTTGTACGAAGTAAGAATGTGATTTATTTACAAGAACTTACATTGTTTCTTTCCATTGTCTACGATGATTTTATCTAAATCGACTGCAAATAAACAATCATTTTAGAGGTTCGCTTGAATTCCTTTGTGTGTTGCAGGTGATTGAATTATTATTGATATTTTTTTTAGTTACATTTTTTTAGTAAGCGATACGAAATGATGAAATCGATATATTACAGAGCATTGAGGATGCAATATACACTTAACGTATTTTAAATTTACATTACCGACTACTGTCAATTCTAAAAAACAATGCGGATATATTACTGGAACGAAGGATTTTCTGTAGAAAATGATCAAATTACGTGCGTCGGGCGATACTTGTGTCTCAACGATGAGCTATATAAATATTCACTATTTTGGCTGGTTGTGTATCGTGTATATTGTAAATGATTCCCGTATTCCTCGTATGACATTTCTCCGCGTTAAACAAAATCTATATTAATGCACCATCTGATCGTCCACCGCTTTTGCCATCCATTCTGGCTCTGTTTGAGCTATCTTCTCGATTATTTGATTCACCTGATAACACAGCGATTGTATTTGTTTGTCCCATGTAGGCAAGGTCTCACGTGCTGCATGGAAAAGTAAGACATTAACTCCTGATTGTGCATAAATAACGACACGCATATTAATGTTCAAGAATTTGAAGGAACTTACTTTCAAAATGTACTATAGAATCAATTTGATCTATATATCCGTTCATTCTGCCCTCTGTGATCATTTGGCTAGCAATTTTTTCCGCTTTAGTAGGTGGAATATCCAATAATGCGCCTAATTCTTCGAACGAGATGTTGTTGTACAATTTACTAGCGGACAATAAATTATGCTCGATAACGGCACGGTCGAGTATAGTGGAGCCTAATCCGTCGATGGTGCACGCTTTCTGGTGAGGTTGCAACAATGCTTCAAACTCCTGCAATTCAGAGCGCCGAATGATACGGTCCAGATACATTTTCTCAAGAATTGAGTAAGCGGGGAGTTGCTGGCAGCGTTCGTCTTTGAACAGCGTCGCCAACATCCGACTTCTCTGCTGTCCTGTAAGAAGAAGGAATAATGTGAATGGCGGTTCGAGAGATGAAACGCGCAAAACGTTGAACAATCGCTTGCCTGCGGAAGCCAATACTGTGCAAATTAATGCATTTCTAAGAGCAGTCATACGTTCATCTTCGTGAATGATGGTCCTATACGATAACTCATTGTACCTCTGAGCTGCTTCTATAAACTTTCTTCTATAATCTAGTACTCTTGCATAACACACTTTGTAATAGATTTGTAACTGTTCGTTTTTAGATTCGGCCTACAATAGAGAAAGGATTAAATAACAGACATAAGGAAAAGTAAAAGTTTGCGAAAGAGAAGAAAAAGTACCTGTAAAAGTGATGCCCGATTGATAAAAGCTTCAGCCTGTACTGGGTCGTCATCCTCCAAATATAATCTAGCAATTTTTAGATAAGTCTCGAGCTTGTAATCAATAGTATACTGCCTGAAACGATAAATTTCGTCAATGTCACGCGTATAAACAACAGCGGGGCTCGACTGATATATGTGTATGTTACTTTTGTCCTGTTTCCAGTGGTATACCGACTAAAACATTCGCAGCTTCTCGCCAGTTCTGATTACGTTCGTAGATATCAGCTAAATGTTGCCTTATGCTAGCTACTTGTTCTTCAAACGAGATCACACGTGGTTGAACCTAACATAAACATTGCGTCGTTTCAGCCAAAGGATGTTCCGATATGTAAATTCACTCTCACCTTCACGTTGCGATCGACCGAAGAACAAGGCTTACCTTGTCCAGTGTATAATGCGAGACAGCTTTTGATATCTCGTCAGGCAAGAACAGCAAACGGCTACTGACGTCGGTCAGTACTTGTCTCGAGATTACCAAACTCACGTTCTCGTTCACAACTGCAATAAAAACTTCCCTAAGAACCATTCCTCGTAATATAAGCATATGCGCAAAATAGGAGGCATCAACTGTCTGCTGAACTAAGATTGGCGTTTCAAAGCGTATTCCTTAGTTGAACTTTTCGCAACGTTCATCTTTCCTCTCTTTCTCCCCGCGTTGGAAACTGCAAGAAGCTCAACTAAAAGGATACACCTCCAATCTTGTCTCGTACGCGTTAGAAACGATTATGTTATTATATAAACGCTTCAATATTACATCAATGCTCGCTTCTACCAATGCAGATTAACTTCGATCTCGGTTTAACTTGCTTCATTTCTTTTTTCCTAGCTTTAAGAATTAGAAAGAGATGAACGAGTAATTTAAACCGATATCCAAGTTAATCAGCATTGGCAGAAACGGAGCCTGAATCAAAAGGAAAACAGTATGTATCTCATATGTCGATTGCACATATATTTAGCAATCGTGATACCATAATACAACAGTAGGTCCACTCCGTTATTTGTTTCGTTTCGCGTCGATCCCTTCTGTGCATCCGACATTGCTCTGGGCAGACCAATGAGAGAAAAGATGCATGTGTGGTAGTGTGGCTTTGACGAGTATGTATACACACACACATATACGCACGTCGCTGGATCCTACCCGGGTGCATGGCGGAATACCATGTGATCGAGACAGCGAAGGGGCCGACAGAGAGTGGACCGAGAGTGGATACTGGTTATACTATGGTGGTACTATCCAGGGCTGGGAAAGTTACTTTATAAATGCGCCTAGTGTTTTCTTTCCTTTTCAAGCTAGAAACGTAACTAGTTAGTTGCAAGTTACGGTTACTCCAGCAGTAACGAATCGCTACTTCGCAGTTGCTTTTTTTTACAACGAAAATATCAAATCTGCATCTGAATCGTAGAGCGTTGTGCGCGATATAAAATATCGACGAAGGCGCTTGTGCGCAAATGCCTAACGCGATCTGTGGGGGATTTGAAATATACGTGAGGCAACTTAATGCAACAGAGTTTAGTTACAGTTACAAACGAGGAGAAGGTAACCAAGTTGTGGAGTTGCCCAAAAAAAAGAAAGAAAAAAAAGTAACTGTAACTTCGTTACAAGTAACGAGTTCTTTCCAAACCCTGGTACCATCGCAGTCCCGGCAATCGTAAGTGCTATTTGTCCTTCAGCACGCTGTAACGTTCTGGACCAGGGGACCGCATTCCTCTCTTATAACCTATCCGCGGCGCGCACAAGCCGCGCGGATCACGCGCAAATTTCGCCACCGCGGTCCCCGTCCGACGCCGCTGGCGCGTCCGCGCACGCCAAGTGCCAGCGGGACGAAAATAACGTACTTGCTTCGATGAACGTCTTCAGGGCATCGACCAGCTCCTCGCCGGAGGACAACAGTATCATGTCCAGGGTAGAGCGATATCTAAACAGAGAACACGGTACGCTCGTGAGTGTACGTGCAGTCGGGCCGCGGCGCGGTGATATATTCGATAGCGCATACTTCTCGGCCTGGTCTTTGTGAGAGCCGCCGGAATGCGCCAGATTACTGAGTTGTTGACGCACGGAAGCCACCGTCACCACCATCTTCTCGCGCGATGATTTCACTTGCCACTGCTGTCGCCGCCGATTTCCGTGTGAAGAGAGACCCGTGGGCTGCTCGCGGACATGCTCGCGTTTCGGCAGCTCGTACGTCAGCGCCTCGACGTCCGCGGAACTACATTGCCGGCGATATTCTCGGTGGGTAAGTACGCGCCGTGCGCGCGCGCGCGCGGGCTGTCGATAATACTGTTGCCTGCTGGATGGCTTCCTCGCGCCTGCGAGCGTCACGGGATGCAGCCCGCAGGCGCGAAAGCTTCGGAATTGTTCTCACTCCCTATACCACATTTCGTCGTTCATTTTCATCTCTTCGTATCAGCTCAATCTTATCCAGATTTATTTTGTAGAAAATTGCTAAACGACGTCAACTGGCGAATTCTAATTAAAGAAATTTATCGCGGAAAATATTACCTCAGTCGGGGCTTGAACCTGGGACCTCCCTGCACTCTAGGCGGACGTCTCGCCAATTCGACCACTGAGGCATGTATTTTTTCGCAATGAATTTCTTTAAGTAGAATTTGCCAGTTAGCGTCGCTTGGCAATTTTTCTACATCGGTTATAATCGTGTACTGGCGTCAAATAATTCTTTACATTTATTTTGATTCATAAAAAAGGTATCGCTGACAGAACTTTGTTACTAAAACAGATTCGAATTAATTAAAACTTGAATTCTGGATTTTACTTTTACGTTTCTATATTTTATGATTGAATTACGATATAGAACATTACACGACTTGTAATATTTTACGCCCGCGACTATTTCTTATTTTCCCTTTGATTCTCTTTGGCGAAGAATTCCAAAGTGATATACACTTTAAAATAAAAAATAGTTTTAAGCAGAAAACAGCTTATTCACAAAATTGTGCAATGCTTGAATCCGATTCTTCTCAAAAGTAACAATATTTAAAAGAACTGGCTTCGAGTGTAATAAAAGTTATGCACGACGTAAAATTTAACATTTTCGTATTATCCTTTCTTTTATTATGGCAACCAAGATATTGAGATAATCGTTTTCCGTTGACATACAGAAAGAGAACGAAGATCGGCGACAATTTTCAAGTACGGTATCTCATCGATTGATTGACAACCCTACCCTAGTAGCACAGTGCATTGAACAAACATTGAACAAACATTGGTTAAACATTGGCCCAACACAACCAAATATTGGGCCAATGTTCAACCAATGTTTGGTCAATGCACTGTGCTACTAGGGAAAGTATACAGGGTGTACTGAAACCACCGGAGGTCCTCTTAATGACAGATTCCTTAGAACATTTCCAGACGAAAATCCTAATTCAAAAGTGTCGAGGCTATAATAGTTTTTAAATTAGAAGCGATTTTTTTCCACAAATGATAGGACTGAAATTTCGTGCGCTCAGGCACGGCGAAATGACAAGTGATATTGTAAATTTATACAATAAACATAATATAAAAAGAGCGATATTCATAGGAACACTTATATCACTTTTTATTTCGCCGTGCCTGAGCGCGCGAAATTTCAGCCCTATCATTTGTGGAAAATAATCGCTTCTAATTTAAAAACTATTGTAGCCTCGACACTTTTGTATTAGGATTTTCGTCTGGAAATGTTCTAAGGAATTTGTCATTAAGAGGACCTCCGGTGGTTTTAGTACACCCTGTATAATTTTGTTAATAATCGTATATGACAACACGTTAGGAGCGTCTATTCTGCGTCTTTGCACGTCTTGTGCTCCAGGCAGACGTCGTAACAACACTTTTCCTCCTCGTCGCACTCGTGATCGCTGTCGCAGTGTCTAGGCGGCTTGTACCAATCGTAAGTCCTGGGACAGTGAGCCCTCAAGGGCGGGCAATGCTTCTTCGGCTTCCACTTCATCTCGTGCCAAAGTTGCTCGACGTGCGGCTCGGCGGCGATGCCGAGCCAGAGCCAAGGTAAGAGGAACGAGTGCCAGCCGTGCTCCGACGAGGCACCACTTTTCCCGCTCGGGCAACAATAGTACCGATGATTGCCCATTTTGCACCAGTACTTGCAAGACCTCATGTAGGCTTTCGTCAGAACGGCGAATAGTAACAACAGACACAACGATGAGTTTCCGCGCATGTTGAGAATCCGCTCCGAAAGCAGCGGATGAAAATGCCTCGGTTGATTGTTTTACCTGGTCTCGCTCTGAATAATAAAAGTCTCGTTTTAAAAAACGATATCTACTATTTGGAATATAACATGTAATATAAAGAAAATAATATAGCAATAAATATGAGCAATGATATATTTTCAATAGGAATTTTTCTCAATGTCTCATGAACACTTGCCTACCCTAGCAGCATTGACCAAACATTGGTCCAATATTTGGTTGTATTTTAGTTGAAAATTGGTGTTTTCTTGTTTAAAAAAATGCCGGTTAAAATTTTTGTGTTAAATGTTTGACACATCCGTGCGTTAATTTAACATGTTGCTCTTGTGTTAATTGACCTCAAATGTAAAATTATTAAAATAACTGAAAAGAAATGTTAAAACAACACAATGTGTACGTATTCTTTAATCCTACACAATACATATGTTCTATATTATTAGTAACAAGATTTGTCTGTTAAAATTTACAGAATAAAATGATGATTTTATTCTATATGGCATAAGTGAGATTGATTTTACACAAAATTCACTTCAAATTATTTTGAGATTTGCATTTATTTGTGTTAAGATATTAACAGAGTATTAGTGTCATCATTTAACATATCCATATTATGTTAAATTAACGCAAAACTTTACGTGGACCGTTTGGGATATGTGATATCTGTTAAATTTAACACAAATTTTTCAACCGTGTAGATTTACATTATTTCCCAATGTTGCACCAATATACTGCGCTACCAGGGAAGAGGCGATCGGTTTCGTTGTCTGCTTACTGAGAATCTTGGAAAAATGTTTTGCGATTTCTCCCCAAGGTCCGTACTTACTTGCGGCACGACGGTCTACGGCCCAACCGAACGGCAGTTCCTCGTTTAGCGTGTCTTATACACGTGGAAGAAACACGCCCCTACCCGGCGAGGAGGGTTGTAAATCGTGCGGCACCTCCAATACATGTCCATCATCGGCGACGAGCGAGACGCGTTTGCTCGTGCTCGATTTCACATGTCAGCTTTGCGAAGTCTCGTCTCCGACAGCTACTCGGAAAAGCGTCGGGAAATGTCAGAAACGAAGGACACGTCATGTTCGCGTTAGAACGGCCAGGGCCGAGTCTACTGTCGGCAGGCGATTTCAAGAGTCTTGACTCTAATATCGCAAACGGCTGATTGTGCAACTCTTTAAAACCTCTGCGTATCAACCGCGGTGATTTTCACACTCCAATTAAAAGTCATTGTTACTAATTACATATCATTGATTGTTCTTAATAATTTGCTAATACTTCAGGACATCACGTATATAGATTGATTTTATATCTTCTTCTATTTCTTTTTAATTAGGGTGTAAAAATCACCCCGGCTGACACGCCAGAAGAAGAATCAGTTTGACGACTATTTCCGGATGAAGAGGCGCGGGAATCCTCCGTGTTGTTCGTAATCGACGAAACGCGTACATGCGACCCTGAAAAACGAGGCGAGCGCGGAAATTTTTCTTCCGCGATATTTCCCGGAGAAGCCGCCTGCGGAACGTCGACATAATCGCCGGCCCCGACTTACTTCGTCTCCGCGCGCTATAAAGAATCGCGTAGTTTCCTCACGCGTCCCAAAGTATGGCAACAAGATAAAGTACGAAACGGAACGTGCGGGATCTACGATGATCTATGATCGTGATAGTAGATGCGACAGCATTTCTATATCTAGTGTATAAAACTAATTGAGCTGCTGGATTTCAGGTATAATAGATCGCAGTACGATTGCTATATTACAATATATTGAGAAGAAATAATACTTACATTGTGCAATGATATAATAAAATACTATAACATCACTGCGTATGCGTAATGTACACATATTATGGTATATATGTACATGCGGAATCCGGCATCTCGAAAAAGATACCTTCCACCCAAAGAGAAATTAATACCTCCGTCTTTTATCCTAAATATGTTTTTCTCAGAACACTTCTGACTTTAACATTCTTGTCCTACTTCTAACATTTTTAAGATGTACAACAATGTTACGTTACGCAAAACATTTTCTAACACATAATTATAATCGCAAAAGATGCGGAAAGACTTTTGCTGTATCTCCTTGTCCGTCGAACAATCTCCCTAGTAGCACAGTGCATTGGCTAAACATTGGCCCAGAACAACCAAATATTGGGCCAATGTTTAACCAATGTTTGGTCAATGCATTGTGCTACTAGGGCTCTCGGCTCTTCTCGTCTCTTAAGCGTTTGAAGGTAGTTTGAAACTATTATCTACACAGTCGTGCTTCTAGCTCCTATAAATTTTTAATTATAAAAGACAGAAAATTAATTGCATATGGAATTTCTATAAATTCATTACACACGTGTAATAAATTTCATAAAAACTTCGCTATCCCATCAATCATATACATGCAATACGACGCGTTACATGTTTCACAGGAATTTACATCGCGTTTTAATCACGCTATTAATTACATTTGTTATATTACAAGCTACGTACATCTCTTATACATAAATAACAGATATAGGAAAGTACAATTGTGCTCTCTTATCGAAATAGCACTTTCAATTAAAGAGTCCTAGATAAATTTGTGCAGCTTCGCTCATAAACTTGTACAACATCCGAGCGTTTGTGTGCAATAAAGAAGAGAAACTGCTCGACGCGAAAAGAAACGTACACTACGGATACTAACAGACTGTAGAACACTCGCCATTAAATTATTCTAGATTAAGGCGAGTGCTTCTTTTGGTTCGCATCGTTCTGCTGTCGGTTTGTTTATTATCATATCACAATATCGTAGATAAAATATTAGGATTCTGTTTTACGTCTTACATTGGCCATCATTTGTGGATTAATTGTAAAACCCTGAGTAGTCACTAAATTAAACAAGTATAATAATACAACTAGCATCTCTCACGTACAAGATTAAACTATCCACAAATCAATATCATTTTCGGAACACATGAAACTGATAAATATCCCCCTCCCCCTCTTTTATGCGTGCAAAAAGTAAATTTTGCGATAATTTAATAACGTTACTTATGACGATAAATAATCTGGCGATCAGATACGAGAAACTATATCAGATTTTCATCCGTGGTCTTTTTTTCTATCTTCAGCTAAATAATAAGTTTTCAGCAGCTAAGTATCGCTTGACGACTATTTACACTTGCTAATTAGTGTCTGTACAAATAATATCGGGTTTAAATATATTAGCTTGTTTGTATATAGGAATGGAACCAACACCATTTGCGACAATTTTCCATACGGTATTCATAAAAAAATATGTCTTTGAATTGCGCTCGTCGACTATAAATTACAATTAATTCATATTGAGGTCAATATATGTATAATTATCATACAATTACATTACGTTCAAAACGGAACTGGCGAGAATTAATAGAAATCGATCCCAATAACTGTTTCGCTAATGATTTCTTTTAATTCTGATCCATTCCACTATTTACTTTTTTAGCTTGGGTCGATTTAATCCACTTTTATTATTTCAATTGGAGTCACGTAAGTTATACCAACTTTACGGGATAAAAATTATCAAACAAATATAGAATATTTAAAATTTTTTTTAGTGAATATTAAATAAAGAAACATTTTCCAGAGATTAATATCGCATTAACAATACTAAATATCATTCGCGACATTTTGTATCCATAAAAAACATTATAAATTGTACTGAATCATTATGAAACTGATGTGCGTACACGAACACAGACGTCTCTCCAATTGAAACTCTACACACCCATACAGCACCAAAGCTTTCAGAAACATTTCAGAAACATTGCAACATTGCAAATTGCAATGTAATATTGCACAGACGATTCGGAGACATTTCCTATATATCATACATATGTAGGAAATTTAAAACGAGCTTTCCGAACAACCTATTGAAATCCTAAATATCCTGTATATTTATATAAATAACGCATAATCATTAAATAACGAAATCAATATTACAAATACATTGCACCGTGCCATTACTGCATTGTTACATTCTAAGGTGTCTGAGGGAGGACATTTCAATGTTGCTGCAAGCTCGCAACAACGTTGCTGAAACATTTCGCAACCTCCATGCAATGTTACAATGTTGCAGCGACAGGTGTATGCGATGTTTCTGCAATCTTTCGGTGCTGTACGGGCAGTGGATTGGTCGCATTTAACTACAGCATGAGGAAAATACTTCGTCTCGTGGAAAAATACATACATTCTGTCTTTAAGTCGTCCGCCGCTTTATCTCCCAATGCATTCGACCCCGTAGTTGTCATGTATGACCAGGACCTCGTACTCTAGGTAGGGCATTTCCTGGCCGTTCAGCGGTATATAGCACACTTGGTGATTCGGCTGTATCTTGCCGATGTGATAGACACCCTCGTGCAACACCCTGCCGACGAACAGCGCGTAGCCATCCTCGGTCTCGCCGGCGGGCAAAGCGTGCAGGGGCACGCTACCCTCCCAGGACTTGACCCAGCTCACATCCTTGCCGCACAGCACTTGGTACTCCCGCTTCTCGTGGGCATTGCCGCCCCAGGCGATTACGCAGACGTTGTCGCGAATGCCGCCTGGCGTCACCGTGCCCTGGTGATGCGCGCGGCCGATGTACAGACCGTCCTCGGAGGCCATCACCGCGTTGCGAGGCAGTCCGAACGCCTCGTTGAAGTCCACCCAGAAGTGGCACGTGTCCATCAGCTGCTGCCTGATGGCGGACGACGTATACTGGCATTCTGGTGACACAGAGGGTTTAAAGAAAATCATGCTTCCTCCTCGTGCACAACGCAGATTGATTCACAATAGGGCATTAGTGTGCATTTACGCCATTTGATTATATGTATACTGTACAGTTTAGTTTTAAACTTAAAGAGGGAAAAAACAAACAGTCTCCACAAAGAGTCAACGCACCTTCGATTATCCACTCTCCAGTTGCACCCCAAGCAGTACTAACTCCTATATAATTTATGACAAACGGGCTTCTGTCTTTATAAGACATAAACGGTATGTCAAAGTCATCCTCGCGGCTGACGCTTAACAGCCCGTCGCAAGACCACCTGTAGGGTAGAATCGAAATGAGAGACACACGCATAGTTTCGTTAATCTACCTCGGGAGACGTGTCATTTCCTTACTGTATGAAAATATCACACATCTCGTCGGGATTCAGTATGTCCCTGGTGTCCGCTTCCGCCACGTCCGGTTCCGTGTTATTTCTTTTTATCGCCGACATAGTGTTTCCCCATCCGCCAATGATAATCTAAAAAAATTGCACGCTCAGGATTGTTAAAAGTACACGGGACACACGTAGCGAAGGTAATTATTGCGCGGAGCAAGGCGGCGTTACCTCGTACACATTGGAATCGCCGCCGAGGTGTGTCCGCAAGGCGATTCGCGCATCGTGGCTAGCTTTGACGCCTATGCTAACGCTGTTTTTTGCGATTGGTATGTAACGGTAGTCGAGGCTGTCTGCAGTGGTGATTCTGACTGAAAACGAATTATTGGGGAGGATAATTAAGCCGCTCCGCCAGAGAGCACCGAGCTTCGAGCAATTACGAGACACAATTCGCAGCGAAACTCACTCGGACTCATTTTTTTTCTTTGACGAGCCTGGAATCCCTTGAACGTACACAGGAATCAATGTCCAAATGACTCATACCAGTCGCACACGGCTCGCATTCCTATGGTGCTGTGCCGTCCACGCGAACGACGACTCGTTATCTCTCATTATCTCGGTCGGTTTATCACTTGAAACAAACAAATAAATACGTTAGAGTTCCGTGTACAAAAGTGGCGTTTTCTATCGACATCCTAGTGAGAAATGACTCGTCGATCGACGTGTCGATGCCGATTTGACGTCGTTTCGACGTCGATCGACGAATCATTTCTCACTGGGATCGATACCGCGTCGTGAACGCTTGCATTTGTAATTGTCCCTCGCGTCTAATAATTAAAAAAAATAACAATCATTGCGCAATAAGAGGCGCAATTGCAATCGCGAGCCACCACACTCTGGCGAGCCTCGAGTTGGTCAGGTCGGCGCGACGTGCCGAGCGACGTTGCGTCCGCAGTTACGCGGATGACGCAACATAATTCGAGCACGTGCACGCGCGCGGGCGACCACGTCGGGACGCCCGGGACGTCGAGCGGCCTGACCGCCCGAGCTCGACTGTCTACACGGCGTCGGCAAAATTCGGACGTTCGTGACTCACTGATAGGGCGGCGTGCGACAGCTCCGGGGGACTCCGGCTGGCCGTATCGCCCGCCGCTTATCGGGCGTACGCTCGCGACGCGATGCGAGCAACGCACGAGAGAGCGAGCGACCTTGTCCAAGCGCAGGGGGGAACGCGATCGGACGGACGTGTCCGTCACGCGGTGATCGCGTCGCGAGTCGCGGCTCTCCGTAATCCACCTCGCATCTCTCGCACAGGTGGACGTCCCCACTGCCGTTGGGCCGTCGGGAGCGTTGGGGATGTTGGGAATGTTGGGATGCCGACGACGTCGCCGCCGCCGCCGCGATCCTGTCGACGTATCGATACTTTCATCTCGATGTTCCGAGCGATTAAATTAGCACGCGGCAGTTCCCGCTCCGTCGTCGTCGCCGGCGAAAATACTGATCTGCAGCAGCCGATTGTTCCTGCCGCGAGCACGTCGCGGGAGACGCGTTAATTATTACAGCAGCTTGACACGATATTAGGCGACGGGGAGCGTCGATGTGATTACATCGTGGATGCAATTGCATCTCGTTTGGAACAAAACGCCTCCCGGGTTCTGCGATATATCGCGCGCCAAATTAAATTCGAGATATTCTTCGGGGCGCGTTTAGAAGCAAGTGTTGCGCGGCTCCAAACGCCGCGCAGTATTCGCGGTATTCGAAGATACGATCGCATCGGCTACTTTTTCCCGAAGGTCAAGATTTTACTTGCATCGACTTTAAAGAGAGTTTCGTGCGCGGAATTAATTGCGCTCTCGGCTTTCCATTCCAATTTTACTTTCTGTACTCTGTGACGTGCGCAGAGGTGTGCGCCGTTAGAGGGTCATAAATTATTCAATTCTTAATCGGCAAGAAAGGCAACGTAAGCGCATATCTAATAACGGTAATCTAATAACAACAATGCGTAATGATAATTACGTCAATTAAGGCAACCTCTTGGCTGCATTAACTGCGCTGCCATTTAATTTCAAACTTATAGTGTTTCTGCGTCACATCCTTACGCGAGGATAGAATTTCATTTATCCCGCTTGTAAATCTACGTCGCACCTTTTTATGCATCGCACACATACACGCGCACCCGTCCCTCGATTTGTGCGGTCTCGCTCTAGTAGCGCAATATATCGGCGCAATATTGGGAAACAATGTAAATCTAGTACTCCTAATATCGGTCCAATATTGTAAGATAGACGCCTTCTCTTATTTAACCAGTATGTCTATTCAGCAATATTGGCTTAATATTAGACCAATATTCTTCCCATGCACCGAAGCTTTCAGAAACATTTCAGAAACATTGCAACATTGCAACAATGTTTTCTGAAATGTTTCTGAAAGCTTTGGTGCTCTATGGGTTATTACATTGCTAAATATTGGCCAATCCCTTACGGAGAAAACACTCAAGATTGAGCGTTAACAAACTTGAGTGTTTTCTCCGTAAGGGACGCACTTCCAATATAAATCTAATATTATATAATTATTATCGTGCAATATTTACATTTATTCCACGGCTGATGTTGGTTTCACGTGGGGCGATATCGGCCAATGCATTTCTAATATAACTAACAAAACCGACGTTTAGCCAACGCGTTGTGCTACTAGGGCAGTTTTACACGATTTCATTTTACGCGGTTGGAAAATCTCGAAAATTTCTAATAACAATTTCTAATAATAAAGAGTAGTTAAAAAGGACTACAGCACCGACAGCGACAACGAATAAGATTTAGATATATATTTTCCTGAACTTTCGTTATTTTCGCGCAAATGGCTGAAATAAATCTTTTTGTAAAACGCACAGACCTTTCCCTTACATTTTTAACAGATTGCATTCACACGAGATTCTCAACAACTCAAGTAATAGACTTCTACCTTGAATTCTGATCCGAATTCTAAATCGTATAAAGTGAACCTGATTTTAATGCACATTTAAATGATCAATTTAAATGCAATTGACAAAGCATTTAATTTAGTTGTATCAATACTGACATCAAGTGCATATTTCCGCCTTTTTATGTTAATTAATAAATGAATAATATACATCGAATACACACATTCGCGCTCGTGCAGCATTGTTTCATCGATTCGAAAAGACGCACATTTTTATATGAAACGTTAGCCGCGTACTAACGTTGAATATAGTACGCATGCAAAACAATAGAGACTTTGACATTCGCATTCAACTGCCTGGGTCTTTGCCGTCCAAGAGTACCCATTGAAATACATCTGGTTAACTTAGGATCAGTGCGCTTGAATGAATACATGCGCGGACGCATGTGCGTGCGCGGAAAGTAGAAAGCATTAAAAAGGACAACGAGCAAAACTATAAACGCTGGACAGGTGTACTTAGGCGTGCACGTACTATTCCGACTTCCGTGAACGAGTGGCAAGGGATTGTAATTTTTTCTGCTTCGTTTAACGAACTTTCGAGCTGGCCGCACGAGCTTGAAACGCCGCGGATACATCCGGCAATTGCACACACGCGAATTGTCCCAATCGGGATCTGTTCTCAGTGCCCTCTTTTACTTTGTGACCCGTCGATCGCGCCTAGGGGCAAGATTAACGCTTTGTAAATTTTACTTTACTTGGTACGAGATCGCAAGCCGTCCCCTCGCGGGATAACATCAAGACCGTCGCGATAACGCGATTGTTAAACGCAAAGGTTTAATATGTTATTTCGCCGCGAATAATGAAAAAGAAAATTAAACGTTTGTGAGTGGAAACGCAACGCTTTCTACAGTAAAAGTTTCAAACCGTGAGAAACAAAGTTCCCGCATTAGATTTGCTATATTTAAGGGAATGGCGAAAAACTTTCTTTTCCACATAGCAGCATTATTATTCAGGCAAGACACTCGGTTTACGCATGTATGTAAAATACGTCTAAAATATCCGCCGGCTGGAATTTCAATCGGTTAAACTCAAAATTTCCGTATAAACGTACTTCTAAATATCCGCGTGGTCACTTAAGTCAAATCGATAGCGTGCTAAGCTTACGATTAAGTGTACGAATAATTTGTTGTCGCGTTTGATAAATTGGTTTTACGTGAAATTTTTCTTTTTATACTTGTTTGAAATCGTTACACATGAGATGTTTACTTAAATTAAATGAAGCAATTATAGTTGCATTGTACAATCGAAATTAAATTTCTAACAATAGAAAATACCTCGATATTATCTTTAAACCAGTGTCGCGAATTTTATTGATTTCGTTTGGTAACGAATAAAATAAAATCGCGTACATGTGATACGGTCGGAAAAACTATTAAAATAAAAAGTGTTATATGGAGCTGTGACTTTTATCTTAATTGTACTTTCATATACCCAACGATTGATCGCAGTAATATCTTCTACGCTACACCGAGGAAATAGTATGCCTGCTAACAGTTAACTTTGTCGTCTAATTTGCAAACGAACACAGCGGACTGATGATAGTACAAATCAGGCGTAATTTTGGTGCGCACCTCATTGCTGTGCTGCGAACCTTAATTGGGGAAATATCTGTTCTCGCGGGCCGTTATGCGAACGACTTATTCGTTACTATGTCGCGGAATTATAGTGATGTAAAGACGGCTGATTATCGTAATGGAGCAAACGGAGCGGGGGAGGACGGTCCTTCCTAGATTTGTTACACGGAACCTTCGTGTATTCGGCATGTAGGTAGGTCACGATACTGCGCCTCGTAGTTCACTATGCAGTTCCACAGAGAGGTGACCCATTGCTTTCCCTGTAAAAGCGAAGAGCTAAATCAGGTTGGCTCGTTTCTCTCCGCTCTGTATGGTCGGGTCCCGACCAATGTCACATCAGTATGTGCGCACCGAGATCGCTTTTACCTTTTCGTATGGCCGAGGGAGTGGGCCGCTGGGGGTATAAAACAGAAAACAGCGCTTTTGCCCGCCAATATGTGTGTGGTTCCATTTTGGTAGACACCAGAGAGGTGTCTGGTTTTCTTCTACTCGATTGATTTATTGTTGAGACGTGCAGGCGGAGCAGCATGTTGCTAGTAAGTAGACACCGGTCCGATCTGCAAGTGACTGTAGAGTACCCGAGTATTTCGAAAAGCCAAGTAATTTTGCACGTTTGTCACACGCTCCCGCCTAATATATGCTACGTGTTGTTTGTTGTTTAAGAATACGTGAAGTTGGAAAAATAGAGATGCTGTATTCTTCCTTTAACTTTCAATAGATTGCTCAGACTACTGATGTGCCATCATCATACTATGCTTAGAGAAGATGTTTTGAATGAATTTTTCTCAATTTTGAATTCGTAGAGGAAAGTCTCCTATTATGAGATAGACTCTTACTATGAGATAACGGAGTCTCTGTTAAATTAATAGGAATCATCTGTTGGTTCGATCATCAATTTATTGTCCTCGGAGTAAAATTTGTTTAGTGGAGAATTCACCGTTGGATTGTGTAATCGTCGCGAAAAAAAAATGTGTGATTGAATTTGGAAGTTGAAAACCTGCTATCTCATAATAAGGGACTTTGTATATTACTTTGCTGTTTCGAAATAAATTTTCGGTGGAATAATTCGTGGAATTATAAGCAGTGTTCTCTCAATCTTACGTCGTTTAGTTTCTCACGAGATATAATTATCTTTTTAGAGCGCAGTGATAATTTGTTGTATGGCAGCTGCAAATGCGGAGTCGTCTCTGAACAGTACGTATCGACGCAGGTTCTTACGCTGTGTTGCTTTGCACCGTCACATATCTTCGTCAAACTTTTCCATGCACGGCTGAGATCAATCTTCCTGAAAGTCCAGAACATTCCCCGATAGCACAATATATAGCACGGCACTTTTAATAGTCCCTTTGATAACTGCGTTCTTGATAACCGCTCGAGAGAGATCGATTGTAAATAGAAGAAAATTAACTGTACCCTCATTTTTCTATATTTAAACAGTTAAATGTGGCAATAAAATTGTAGCAGCAAAAGACCTAGTAGCACAATACATTGGCGCAATATTGGGTAATAATGTAAATCTAGTCGCTGTCTTCTACAGTCGTAACGGCTCCCGGAAAATATATAAACATTGCAGTTTGCATCATCTGGGAGACTCTGATACTATCTTGCAATTCCCATATTAGGCCAATATTGGCCAATAATGGACGCCTTTTCTTAACTAGCCAATATGTCTATTTAACAATATGGTCTAATACTGCATCAATATTAGACCGATATTGTTATTACATTGTTAAATATTGGCCAGTGCACTTCCACTGTAAATCTAATATTATATAATTATCATCGTGCATTTACACTTATTCCAATGGCCAATGCTGGCTTTATGTTGGACAATACCGGCCAATGCATTTCTAATATAATCAACATTGGACCAGTGTTTAGCCATTGTTTAGCCAATGCGCTGTGCTACCGGGATTAGCCGCGTACATAAAAATCCTCAATCAGAAACAAATTGTGTCGCGCTTCAATCGAAATGCCATTCCATTGTAGGCTACTCTTTTACTGGCGACGGCAACGCGTACGATTACAGTAACACCGTTGCCAGTAATGGATACCTGGGGTCCAAGGACGGCTATCAAACCAGCGGTAGCTTTTACGGTGCTGGAGACACCAATCATAAATTGTCCAACCATGTCGGCGGTCACTCGTTAATTAACGTCGGCAGCCAGGGCAGCCTAGGAGGAGGCGACGTGGGAAACAGTTATAACGGATACTCCGCGAGCGATCAGGGAAACGAATACGCGGGATATTCCAGCGGCTACGAGAGCCCCGCTGGCGAGTCTTACAGTACGTCCACCCGCGCAACGGCCACACCGCTCAGAGGGTACATCAGCGGTAATAATAACGGCGAGCCGACCTTCAACGCGTACAACCCGAGCGACTCGGTCCACAAGGACGCCGATTTTGGTCAGTACGCGGCCAGCAGCAGCACCAGCAGTAAGAGGGTACCCGCTTATCCCGTTTACACCAGGCCGACCCGGGTGTCGGACAATTATCCCGAGGGCACCGCTGACAGCGGCGTACAAGGGTATCACGGCGGCTCCTCCGGCGCCTCAAGTTACTCCGAAAGCGAGCACGTCTACGCGCCTTACTCGCCGGGTGGTCAGGCGAGCGAGTACTCGTTTGGAAAGCAGAAAAACGAGCCGTTGAACCTGAAAGGAGGAGGCAGCAAGTACAGCGGCGTATTCTCGATCCCGTCCGAGACGCGTTACACGCGAGGCAACGCCGGCCACCTGAGCTATAATCGCGACGTACCGTCGTTCGTGTCGGCCGGTTCCGCGCCGGGCAGCTATTTCCCCAAGGTAGCGCACGGCAGCTACTCCCCGGGGAAACCGAGTAAATACGGCTACAAACACTTGTCTCGCTACGCTCCGAATAGCGACGTAACTTACATGTCGAGGGAACGCGATGGCTATTACATGCCTTACGGCAAGGGCGGTGGCAAGTTCATCGTAATTAAGGATAACAGCCCGAGTTACCCAGGCCGTGTTTACGCCGACGAGCCGATCTACGCCGCCAGCAACGGCGGCTACAGGAGCAAGAGCGGCTTTGCGAATGGTTACTCCGTCTTGTCCAATTTCCCTGGGTACACCGGCAGTAGCAGCTACGACGACGGCCCCACTGTACTTAGACGGTACAGGGCCAGCGGTCCCATGTTTCTGCAAAGGCCCATTTACGCTTAATTTAGCTTTAAGGTCGTGTCTAGATAGTACAGCACGTTGATGTATGTTCAAATTTGTGTATATATATACATATATTTATTTTAATAAGGCTGCGTTACGATAATCACCGTCAGTACTGAAAATCTATAGTTTACGTCACGGATACTGCACGTCTTCAGTACTGGCAGTGAATTAACGGAACGCAGCTCAAGTATTTTAATAGGGATTTCTTTTCAATGCGTTATTCCGAATAAAAACATTGTTCAATTGTTTGTAGACGTTCAAACGACCATTCATACTTTATTTCCCCTTTAATCTCTCGTGCATACGTACTTTCAAAAGTTTATAATTATTATATAGCACAAGTATATAAGGTGTTCTTGATTTTCTTTGCCGAGAATTCCTCCTCTGTACTTTCTCTTTTCATAGACTAAGAGATTATTGATTAGACACAAAGTGGAGTTTACGTACGTTAAAAATATTTTAGTACATAATAATATTTATTTAATGTTATTAACCGGTAAGCTGCGTAGAGCAAATAAATACGTTTAAGATCTACTTGTATTTATTTTTTAAATACCATGTAAAAATTACACTTGTATGTTATCTATGATAAGTACACTGTAATAGTTGATATTGTATAACAAAAATATTTTACCTGTCACACATACGCACACACATACTACAATTTTTATGTAATAAAATTGTATGATATTTCAACGTTCACGGAGGTGTCCTTGATAATTTAGGCTTAGCTAAAAATGCCTCTTCTTCTTTAGCAAACTCTGGATCATTTTTCCACGAAGCATCATTAATTATGTTGCTATTATAGTTACTATTCCTACGAACAATTATATTACCTGTCGCTAAATAGATTTGTAATAGCCAGGGGGCATTATTGACAAATAATAGATATGCAGTTTATTCAACATCGTCATTTGGGAAAGTACGTAGCTATATTAAAAGAGACAATGTTGTGGGTACAAGTAATACAAAGCATATAAATAATACAAAGCGTGTGCTTCAAAAAATAAATATTCAAAAGCTGTGAGAGTTGTACCGCAACTGCAACGATTGCGTAAAATATTACTCACAGCGACGCTATGCTACTGAATTTCTCCATTTCTGTAAAAATCGGATTTATAAATTTTACTAAAATTATCGACATACAGTCAGAGATTAATTATTTCATTTCTTTCTAATATATTTTAATATTTAATGCCACGTAAATAATGAGAGAAATGTGGATCAATTGATTCGTAATAAATGGCATGATATATTCTAAACTATCATTTCCAGCGACGCAAAGCGTTTGTTAAATAATTTCACCAAATTTGTAACATGTCATCTAACTGGTTAATATATCTCTGACTAGTTTCTATCACTTTCGTTACGTGCTCCCATTTTCCCAGGGTTCTGCGTATGTAGGGAAAGTTCTAAAGCTTTCACTGAATGCTGCTTGTGAATTATTCTCTTATTGTTAATGTGCCAAGTTCGTCATTTTGAAGTCAGTCAAAACAATGGCAGCATACTAAATAATTACTGCGGCTATTATTCAAACCGCAGCTAAAAATATGACGTACATACCTGCCTGGTCATTCTCGCGACCGGATACAAGAATCGTAGAAGATGTCACTGCAGTTTCACTGCTGCCCCTGTAAATCCATTAATAACGAAATAACTACGGATAAAATGTTAATTGGGAGATTAATTCCAAAGTAAATTAAATTGACAATTGTATAATATGACATTGTTTATAAAATTACTTTGATAAAATTACTCAAATTCGGATTGATTAATAACGCACTTGGAGGTCTGGTTTTCATACAAATAGATTGTATTGTTAGGTATTCTCTCAGAGAAATTTCGCTTAAAAGACTTTATTGTTTCTAGGGACAACTTTTCTAATTCCGGTTTTCTGAATTTTCCTGTATTCATCCTATTCTCCGATCTGCGTAATTTTAATTAATCTTGTTTATTATTTATTCTAAACATTGAATTTATTTCTGTCCTAACAATAAGTTTATTATCGTAATCAAATTTCGATTACGTTTGCTTTTTCTGGTCGCGTTTGATGACCACGGTTTCTTAATAAGTTACATTCTGCCTGTGTTTTTTGTATGATCGATTTTGTAATTCATAATTAAGGAGGATTCGGTACCGATGAACTCTTTTACTTACAATTGCAACTTTATCTGCAGAAAATGATTTTTCGTGCCATTTGTGACAATTTGCTATTCTTTGAAAATGTTACATCGTATAAATAAAAAGGAAGAGATTGAGCCAATATGTACGCCATGGATTTATTTCGGAGAATATATCTTAAAAAGAAATCTGATACTTTCGCAAAGGTTGCTTGTTTAACTTCTTTCGGTGATATATTATTTTCCATCTTAATATTACACTTACTGTGTAATATGTCAATTTATAAATATAAGTTGAAATTAGCTTGGCCACTTTCTGCACATAGAAAGAGTAATTTTGGGGCATGCATACCTTAGCGCAGGATATGATGGACGTTTATTACAGACATGATTAATGTGTTGATTGTCGTAAAAGTCGATAGGATTGAGCGTAGACATTTGTTGCAGAGCTGTATCCGAATTTACAACCTCTTGAGAGATTTTCGAAGAAACGCTGTAACACATTGCAAGCAACATTTCTCCGTTCAATTCGCCGATAGAGTTTTGCAGTGGATCGTTTTCGTCTAATTCACTCTCCAGTACATCCAAGTCTTCCTACGGAAATGTTTAGCATCCAAATTTATTCAGTGTTCACTATATCATCGGTATTTTCGTACTCGCATCGCGCACTTACGTTGTCATCATCCCCGGCCTCGTCATTCTGCGGCGTGTTAACATTTTCGTGTCTCTGTATCCTCAATACATGATCTAGATGCTTCCTGTTATATCGAAATTATTATTGTTTAAGAAATGGAAGAAGTTGTACCTTTCCATCAATTGACGAATATCTTTTAATCGCAGTTACAAATATGAATGTTCTAAATATTAGAGCGGAGATGTGCAATTTTGATAAAAAAGAAATAATCAATTGCAAATGTATTAAATATATTTTGATGTGGAACTCGTTGTCCTTGATATCAGAACCTTCATATTTTGTGTAAACATGTATCGTGCATATACACGCACCTTATTTCCGCAATTTTCTGATTACTACCAAGATATTCTGATATATTTGAACGCTTAATTTTCCTTGCTTCCTCATTGATTATAGGATTGCTTAGAAAATTGTTTAGTGCTCCATTGATGTACGGTAGTGACTGGTAAATTTTACAAAGATATGTATTACATTTACTAGGTAAAATTTTTCTCTCCTGCAAATATTTGCCTTAAACGCGCGTGTAATTCAACTCACAGACGTATGATCTATCGAGAGAAGGACGAGCAAGGTAGACACGAGTAGCGAAGATATTTTCGACGCTCTGGCTTGTGCTAATCGATGTAGCGACAGGTTCATTAAAAGTGCGGTAGCGTATTCGAGCCTGTATAAACTTATGATGCGACATTTGTCGTGTAGGTGATTGATCAACCATTCTAGGAGTCCGCTCTCGATCATGTAGATCCGCTGCTGTCTACGTAAAGACAGTTTTTGTAACATCGCCACCATCATGTCACACGCGAATGGATCCACTCCGTCAGCGTAGTTATTGTCGAGGCAAGCGAAGGTCTGAAATACCGGGAATCGTAATTTTTATTATCGCGATCTCTAATAAATGCATCAAGTTTCATCTGATTGCAATATTTATGGTATCTAGTAGTTCTCGATAAATATATCAAAGCTCGCTTAATATTGTAACATTCTAACCGATTGCGAGAACAGTTCTATCATTTATTTATGCAAAAACATACCACATTTACAACAGTCGATCTGACCGACAGATAATCTCTTCCGCATCTGAAGGATGCCAGAGTGTTTAGTAATCGTGCTGTGAATTGCTGCAAAAGGTGTCTGGCATAAGCTACCCCCACGGTCAGCAGACATGGTAGAATCGACTTGCCATTGTCGCTAGCAATTTGCCCGTGAAGCCCCAACAAGTCGCGACTTATGTACTCGTGTAGGACTTCGTCTTGCTCTGCCGACTGCACGAGCGTTATTTTCTAAAAGTATAAATGAGACTTTTGCAGAGACGATACCATCGCCATCACGAGAAGCTATTGATCATCTCAGTACCCAACGCAACGCTTGCAACAGCAATAACTTTGTCTTCACGTCTCCGTTAAGTAGATGTATCTTGATCTTTTTATAATCCAATAATTTGGGAGCTACCGGCAGTGCCGCGCCGTTAGATTTAGGCAGTGCAATTGCAGTTACGTCAATACGATCGAGTTGTAACAAGGACGGCTATAAAAAGCAATAGCCATACATTAAAATTGAAAAGTTTATGGAAGAACGTGCCACGATCTCCCTTTCTCCGTTTTACTTACATACGAAGACTCTCTTATATTCTGATTAAACAAGTCTGGAAATATTTTCGTGCAGGTCTCGAGCGTTTGTTGCACATCGACATGTCGCCCTTTCACCGAGCTCTCCAGTGCCACCGTCAATTCCCCGGCAACGTCTATCAGTTTATGGTAGTCCGCGTGTAATTTGTGAAATCTCACTTTTAATTTCTCATAATTTGTATGAATACTGTATAAATGAGACTTGGTTAATGCTAATTCGCGATTATATTGAGTCAATCTTTTATCTGACTTGTGCATCTTCAACAAACTATTAACGCTCTCTCCTGGATTCAATGTATCTTCTCGTAAATTGCTGGTTGTAATTTGATCTCCAGTAATATACGTTTGTGTGCTTCTGTAAATGAATAAAAAAAATGTACGAATCAGATGTTTTCTAATCTCCTTACTAACACGTCGGAGGAAAGGTATTTTACTTCGAGTCTAAACTTGTTTTGTTAAGAAGCTTGTGCTCCTCGTCGATACGGTCTTCCAGAAATATGGGTATATCCCTGTCATTTGGCACAATCGGCACATTAGTCTCTCTAATCTTATTTTGCGTAACATCCGACTCCATAGCCATTGTCTTTGTTGCTGGCACGGTCGTACGACCTAGATCCTGCGATTGCGCTTTATTGGAGTTTATGTTGTCCCAATCGATTAAATCCTGCGAATTGCGTATCATTTATAATTTTCGCGCACTTTCTAAATATTATTTTCGCATCATCGCATACGAATGCTGAGCTGACTCACTTGTCTGTGACGTGTGATAAACGAATCTAGATTTTTCGATAGCTCATCCAACCAATCTTGTTCTAACACTTTGGAGAAAAAAGTATCCGCGTAAAGATCTTCTATAAACGGCAGTGCATAAAACGTTTGAAATTCTGTGTCATATTCTAATTCCTTGCCGTCCCCACTCAAATAATCTTGCAATTGTTTCATGCTTTCATTTATATTCGTTTCAATTTCAATGGTATTGTTCTGTTCGTTATTAATAATATTCTTAAGCTATAATTATTTTTTAAATACTTAATATACTATATAAATCACATTAAACTTAAACATTTGGCACGTTATAAACGTACTAAATGCAGCAGTAAGAAAATATTCCAGAAAGACACACAGAAAATAAGTTTCATTGGCTAATCCGTTAAAAAGAAAACGTCAAATTACCTGCTTGCACTTTTCCGGGGCAAGATCTTTCTCCGTTGAAGACAATCTCGGTGTACCTATTTCTGGCGTCGGGTCTAATCCATAACAAAGATGAAAAATGTCATCTAAAGGCTGGTATTACATTTGTCGTACGACAAAGTTTTTAAGCGTATTGATTGGCTGAAGGATAGTAAAATTCTCGAGTATCTAGAAACTTTCTATTCAGCGGCCAATCGACACGCTTGAAAAATTTGTCGTACGACAAATGTAATAGTACCCTAAGGCTGGTATTACATTTGTCGTACGACAAAGTTTTTAAGCGTATTGGCTGAAGGATAGTAAAATTCTCGAGTATCTAGAAACTTTCTATCCTTCAGCCAATCAATACGCTTAAAAACTTTGTCGTACGACAAATGTAATACCAGCCTAAGGGTACTATTACATTTGTCGTACGACAAATTTTTCAAGCGTGTCGATTGGCCGCTGAATAGAAAGTTTCTAGATACTCGAGAATTTTACTATCCTTCAGCCAATCAATACGCTTAAAAATTTTGTCGTACGACAAATGTAATACCAGCCTAAAATTACACATGCATAATAGAGCGTCGTGTCTTCTTACCATATTCCTTATATCGATCGATGCGTCTTTTACGTTTAGGCAGTACAGCGAAGTGTACGTGTAAATAAAATGTCAACTTTTTGTACTCTTCACATTGCTTGGTGTTATCGGCGAACGCGTCATTCCATAACTAAAAGAATTAAATGTAGCACAATGTAATCAGAGACATTCAATGTCGGTACATCAATAACTTGCGCTACTTGGAAAAACGCCGAATAATCTCCGGCATTGCAGCGTAGCTTCAGTTGGACACAGGGATCAGTTACTTCTCCAAACTCGCATCCTAGATTTTGAAAGCCCATTTTCGAAGCTTCCCGAACTAAAGCCTCGGCAGTGCTCTCGAAGTTGTGCTCCAAAAGAAACTGCAAGCCATTGTTTGTTTTTTTCAACAGAAATTAAAGAGCTGTAGACCAGTCGGGATATAATATTAAATCTGCTGCGTTAAGTGTCGAGTATTATTAATTATCAACGTCAGTGTGTTCTTGACCATGCCTGGCATCTTTAACAATACAGAAAGTTTATTGCAAAATCATTACCTCAGCCGGGGTGTGAAAAATGCCAGGTACGGTCGAGAAAACGCTGACGTTGTCAATTACCGCTGGCGACACTGAAGAACATGCTGATTAGTCATTATTAATTATACCTGATGGATCGCTTGGATATTTTTGTCCGCCATTTGATTCTTCGTGGACGCAACTCGGTACGCGCCTCGTCCTGCCTGAAAGTATCGCCGTCGAAAAGAAAAGCACCGTGAAACTCGATAATGAAATTAACATTCGATCGTGTTGCAATTAAATCCTAAATAACTTTGCGTATTCTTCGGTATTTCGCAAGTCAGCTTAAATGACCCGTTCAGTTAATACCACGGTCTT